TAACCTCTGAGCCATCTTTCTAGACCCAGAATTTTTAAATATCATCAAAACCATAAATCATCTAGTTCAGTACCTTCATTTTATAGATTAATTAGGCCAAGAAAATATATGTGATTTGTTCAAGATCACTGTTATAAGTTCATCTTTCATTACTATAGCAAAGTATTTGAAGTTAGGTATCTATAATAAATTAGATTTATTTAGTTCATAGTTTTGGACTTGAACTTGTTTGGACTCCAGTAAGGGCTTAACAAACAGCAGATGCAAGATGGACTGCATTTGAGAGCAAGATGTCACGCTGCCAAAGAGAAAGTCAGGAATCTCATAATCCCTTCCAAGGACAGGGTCTTCAGTCACCTGAGAACCTCCCATCAGGATGTACTTCACCACATTAAAGGCCAAGTCTCTAATATGTGGACCCTCAGAGCACAACCAAAGCGATCATCACGTGATTAATGTTAAGCTAAAGATTTAGGTAGTCTCCTCCTTTTGGTCTCATATTCTTACTTCTGCTTTCAAGTGATTCTTTTCTGCTTTTGTGGGGTTTTTTGTTCTTGTTGTTCTTTGAGACAGGGACTCATTCTGTAGCCCAGGCTACCCTGGAACTCACTATGTAGCCCTGCTGGCCCCTAAAATCTCAGCAATTCTCCTACATCAGCCTCTCAAGTGCTGAGGTTATAGGCATGAGACTCCACAGTCAGCTTACTAGAGTCTTGATTAATCTAGGGATGTCCTGTTATTTATTTTTAAAATTTTTTCTAGTTTGATTTTATTTTATATATAGGAGTTTTTTGCCTTCATTTGTATAGGAGCACCACATGCCTGCAAAGCCCATAGAGGCCAGAAAAGGGTGTTGTATCCTCTGGAACTTTTATTACAACTACAATTAGCAGCCATGTGGGTTCTGAGGTCTGAACTAGGTCCTCTGCAAGAGCAGCCAATGCTTTTAACCACTGAACCATCTCTCCACCCCCATGAATGAGTCTTGGAAATGCTTATCCATGGTATTCACTCTAAAACAATGAGGGTATCAGTGATGGATTGTATTAAGAAATGAATTTTGGAGTCAGAAACACTTTGGGCATTTTGTTGAATTTTAACACTTAAGTTCCTGAGATTTAGTTTCTTCATCAATAAGGTAGGTATAGATTTTAAAATAATAAACTGTATCCTTAGAGTATTACAAAGTATTAGAAAGATTAGATCAGGGGCATCCCACCACTGATCCATAGTTCTTGGGGTCCCCTTCCAGCTGTCCTGAGGCTCTTCTTGTTCCCAGTCTGGGTTTTGGTCCTGTGCATGGCTCTGGAAGACCCAGCCCTGACCGGGCTGCCCTGGCACCTTACAGCACCTGCCCAACCATCTCTAGCACCTTACAGCACCTACCACATAAGCTGAAGGAGTTTGGAAACACCCTGGAAGACATGGCCTAAGAAGCCATTGACCACATCAACAGAGCCAAATTACTACCAAAATCCAGAACTAGTTTTCAGAGTGAAAAAATTAAAAGCTATCTTCTAAGCAAAGACTCTTCCATGATTCCTCAGCCCCACACCCAGCATCAATAAAAATGTTTTATGGGGTGGAGAGAAGCATTACAAAGATTAATACCACTCTGCATTAAGAACATAGCACATAGGAAATGTTCAATACATGTTATTAAATGGCAATCCTCACTGCCCCCCAATCCAAATATATTAAAATAACCAACCTATGGACTGTGACATAAAAAGAACCTTTTCATATTTGAGGAATGCAGTTGATGATACTGACATCTTTACAACAGATTAATACTTTTTATGTTAAAGTTACACAAACACCCACATACAGCTGTGTGTTAAAAAAAATCTTTATTGAATGAACAATCCATAAACATAAGTCAACTCTGTGTGGATCAATTTTCTCTTCACCTCCCACCATTTCATCCGGATGCTTGTAAACAATCTTTATGTCTTTAAAAATAATCTGCTTACTTTCAAACTGCTCAAAAAGAAACATAAAACACTGTATTCTTTTTCAATATATTTTTATATCTTAATCATATCTAGACTCCCTCCGGTCTGCAGCCTCTCCATATTCACCCATTGCTATTTCATGCTAATCACATAAGACTCATCCCTCGCTCTAAAGAGGAGCAATATGCTTAATAATTTATGGCAAAGTGTTTTCATGCACATAATTGTAAATATTTCTACAGAAACATAAAAGAATCTGGGGCAACAGAAGCAGAGGGAAAGAAGCTACTTAAACACAGTCTCCCTAGATAACTGGATTTAATTTGTTACTGTGTTAATTTGCTAGGGCTGCCATAACAGACTACCACATACTGGGTAGCTCAAAGCAACAGAATTTTATTGGGTCACTTCTGGAGGCCAGAAGTCCACAACCAGGGTGACCAACCATAATTCCAATCTTCACGTGGCATTCTCCCTGTGTATATCTGTGTCCAAATTTCCCCTTTATTTAGGGAAACTAGTCACACTGCATTAGGGCTCACCTTAGTGATCTCATTTTTAAATTGATTATCTACAAAGACCTTATTTCAAAATGTAGGGTTGGGGCAGATTGTAAAGAATTTGGAGACACAATCCAACCTGCAACAATTGCCAATGCCTTCCTCCTTTTAACTTTGCCAGACACTGGTGGCAATACTTCACTCATTGATTTATTCATTAACATTTAAATACACATGCCAAGCTCTGTACTGAGTATTGGTAATGCGCAAAGATAAACTGGACAGTGATTCTGTCCTTGAAAAGTCACTTTGGAGGGACTCATTTATTATAGCAAAAACATTTTATTCAGAAGATATTGCTAGGTATTATAATAGGTAATTTCCAGTACTCCTCAAAACAGGCTCAAGGAAATGCTGCATCTGTACTAGGAGCAAAGAATATTTTCACAAATCAGGTAGCATTTTGAGCTCAAAAGGTGTATGCAGAAATACAGTAGGCAGTTCAAAGACGGTTGGAGTGGTAGATTCCAAAGAGCATTTCTCTCTAAGAGGTAAACCCGCACATATAAAGAATTAGTAACAAGGGGCTGGAGAGATGGCTTAGCTGTTAAGAACACTGGCTGTTCTTGCAGAAGACCCGGGTTCGAATCCAGCACCCACATAGCAACTAACAACTGTCTGTTGTCTTTAACTCCAATTCCAGGAGCTCTGACAGCCTCTTCTGTCCTCCAAGGGCATTGCCCGACACCGGTGCACTTACCTACAGGCAGGCAATACATACATACACATAAAAACAATAAAATGTTAAAAAAATTATAAATTTCAGGAGGGTTGGGCTTTTTTTCTTAGTGGTGCTGGTTTTATTTCCTTTGAGCAATGCCTTCTTCCTATGGAGTTGCTATGCTAGGCCCAACGGCACAGGCTGTAATACCAGGTACTGTGTTAACTGAGGTAGGAGATCGAAAGTTTAAGACCTTTCTGAGACAGACAATGAGTTGAAGACCAGACTGGGTAACTTAATGATATCCTGTCTCAAAAAGAAAAGAAAACCAACCAACCAAAATCACCCAAAAGCACATGGGTAATGCTAGCACTTGGGAGGTGGGAGCTGGTGGGGTCATCCTCCGCTACATAGGAGTTCAAGGTCAGCCAGAGCCAATGAGGCCCTGTCTTAACTAAAAGCATCATATATCTAAGGCATGGCCTGGTATGACGTGCAGTTTCCCCGTGTTGAAAAGTCAGGCGAAGTTGCACACATGGCCCTGTAACCCACAGTGCGGGTAGGAGTTTGGGGTTGATACACTGTTGATATATCGACAATATTACGAAACGCCTGGCACGGCCCTGTGTGCTCCAGGGCACCAGCCAGGGTGCCCTCGCCAGACAAAAAAAAATGGCTAAAGGGAGTGGATTCCGCACTCTCCGAAGCAGGGAGTCCAGCTGGATTAACGTCGGAGGAGGCACACGCCAGAGCCTCCCAGTCCTTTGTACAGTCCTCCGCCCCCGGCTCCACTCTAAGTCCCCGGGTACACACGGCCTGCTAGTCCGGAACGGACTCCCGGGCCCACCGGCCCCTCCAGAACACCGCCAGGGCGCACGCGCCTTCCGCAGATCTGCGCGCGCCCGCGAAGCTCCCCGCAGCCCCGTGCTCATCCGGGTCCGTGAGAACCTCGGCCAATAGCGGACGCTCACATCCCCCCAAGGGCGGGGCTGCCCTCCCTGTGGTGCCCCCCCAACCCCCGGGGGCCTGTGCTCCCCGCCAGCGTTCCCCAAGCCGCTGAGGACACCGTCGACGCCCTCCAGCCTGCACCTGCTTGAGGACCGACATGTGAGTGCGGGAGCGGCCGCGGCCCCCGCAGAAGCGCCGGGAGCCAGAGCGGGTCCCCAGCTCAGGGCCAGCGTAGTAAACACACTTCAGAAACGTGAGGTGCCGAGGGTCACGTGGTCAGCGTGCCGTCCAATGAGGAGCCGGGGGCGGGGCCGAGCCCGCTGACGCGGCGGCGGCTGCAGCGGAGTCACCCGGGCTGCCTCGGGACCGGTCAGCGGCCGGCCAGCGTCGCGCGGCCTCGACTCCCGTTGGTGCGGTCCGTGCTCGCTACCCGCTCCCGGGGGCGAGAGGCTGCGTCGCCTGCGGAGGCCTGGTGTGCTTTGCGTCCGTCCTGAGCGTCCACCTCAGGCGGGCCGCCTGTGTGGGGCGAGGTTTCCGTGACCAGGCTCCCGAAGCTGCCGGTGCCAGCCCGGGCCGTCGTGGCGGCTGGAGCCGCCGGCACGCGCTCGCTCTCCGGGGGTCGCAGGCCCGGGAAGTCATGCGCGGCCTCGGGGCGCTGGGCGCCGGCTCCTGAAGCACATCGCGCCTCACACGCCTCCGGCCCGGCCGTCTCCATTCATCATCCCGCTGCGCCCTCGCCGTCCGCGGCTCCGCTCGGCCCCCCGCCGCCGCCCGGTCCTTCCTCCTCGGCTGCCGAGGTTCTCCTGGAAGCGGAGGTGTCGGCCATGAGCCCCGCTCCCCTCGCTTGAGTTTCGGGGTGTCGGCAGTCGGGGGTCCCGTCGCGCCCCGCCCCACCCCGGGCATGGGGGTGAACGCTGTGCATTGGTTCCGAAAGGGACTCCGACTCCACGACAACCCCGCCCTGAAGGAGTGCATCCAGGGCGCCGACACCATCCGCTGCGTCTACATCCTTGACCCTTGGTTCGCCGGCTCCTCCAACGTGGGCATCAACAGGTGGCGGTGAGTCCAAAGCTCGTGGGACGCGGTCTCGCGCTTCAGGACCGGGTGTTCTGCATTGGCGTCGGAGCTCAGATTTATTTTATTTTATTTTATTTTAATTTTATGAAGTCTTGGGGACAGCATTGCGTGCATGGTTTAAGAATTGTAGATGTGGTCAATATTAATAGAATAATTAATAATCATCTAGCCAGACAGGCTGGCGATCTGGAACACCTTGGCCTTCTCCTCTAGCTTACCTGTCTGTCTGTCCCAGTTGTCCCAATGGGAATTCCTCCCCTGGTTTGTGGAGAATACCTAGTAGGGGCAAACACTCCCAAGTCCTTAATGGCCGGTGGATCGAGTCCCTTGGCCTCTCTGGATCATTCGAAAGGATTTGTGATCCTTCATGTTTACGTGTGTCTAGGTAACTCATGGAGGAGAATCATTCATTCATTCCAGGCAGCTCCAAACCCAGCTTTCTTCCCCCTTGAGGTTACTGGAGGAAAAGCAAGGGGAGAACATTCTCTGGTTTCTCTTTGCTCTGCTTTCTTCCAACTCCTCCCTGTGGTTGTCAAGAGGAAGTACAGTTTATCTTTCTAGGCAGAGTTCACGCCTTCTAGGGAAGGAGCACTGCAAAGGAAGCCTGGGGTGCTTTATGATTTTTCCGGAAGAACCAAGCCGGATTATGGTGAGGCTGAATTAACGGAAGCGTTAGTTTAGTAGATATATGGGTCACTTAGATGCCAGGAGCAGCCTTGAACGGGAGGGATGGAGCTGTGAACAAAACTGTAGTCTGTCCTCTTCAGATATACGCCCCAGGAAGGAAAACATGTATATGTATTAAGTGCTTTGAAAGAGAGCAAAGAAAATAGATAAGGCAAACAAGAATAGGGATGGGCTGGAATTTGATGTGTGTTGGCTAGCTGGGATAGCTCAGTGGACAAGTACTTGTCTAGCATATCTGAGGCCCCAACTTCAGTCCTTGGAACCAAAGGAAAAAGCTGTTAGTGTAAAAATCGTGGAGAAAGTGATGGCGGATCCAAAAGAAGTGATGGGGATGTGATGCAGATAGCTAGGAAGAGCATTTCAGGAAAGGGCCTTGAGGTGGGAATGTGCTTGACCTTTGGAAAGAACAGCCAGTATGACTGGAGCAAAATAACTTAGGGGAAAGTAGTAGGTGATGAGGTCAGAGCTGTAATAGGGCCAAATTGAACATCACTTTCTAAACAGTTAACGAGATTTGCAGTTTTACTCAGAGTGAAGTGGAAATAATTACAGGATTATGAGCAGAGAAGTGACGTGACCTGACTTAAATTAGAAAATTTTTCTTTAGTGGAGATTCTGGGAACAAAGTGAACTGGGGATTGAAGATAGAAAAGAAGTAGGCAGGCCACTCAGGAGTGTGTGTTTGTCCAGGTGAAAGATGAGAATGGCTTGCACAGAGTGTGTGGACAGATGGACATGTGGATGAGCAAAAGAAGGAAGCTAGGAGGAATTTCAAAGATTTTACTGTGCTGGGCTTTTAATCCCAGTGCTAGGGAGACAGAGGCAGGCTGATCTCTGAATTCAAGGCCACTCTTGCCTACCTATCAAGTTCCAGCCAGGGCTATGTAGTGAGACCCTGTCCAACTCGGGAAGGTAGGGGGGATGCGGGAGCTAGGCTTTAATAGGAAAGTGAAGCCAGTTAGGGAAGCCTTAGAGAATGAGATCGGAATGCTCTTTTGGAATTTAAGCTTCACATGTTTTTTACACATCCAAGTGGAGTTAGAAGATAAACAGTTGGCTATATCTAGAGTTCAGGATAGAGATGTGAGCAGGTAGTATAACTAGGGTTAGAAGTTACAGATATTAATAAAGCCATTTATTCAGCCATCCTTATACAAATATTTGACAGGCATCTACTACATGCTTCATACTATTTCAGGTGTGGAGGATTTAACATAAAATACTCAGAAGCTCCGCCCCCCAGTTACATTTTAGTGGAGCCATGGAACTGTATGAGAACATAAAGTAAGGCTGGGAAGTAGCTTGGTGGTAGAGTACTTGCCTAGCATGCATGACCTCAACACTGCAAAAAAAAATTTTTTTTAAAGTGAGTGTAGATAGAAAAAGAGACAATGTAAGGACTGAATCTAGTCTCCCTCCTTCCCTCCCTCCTTTTGCGACAGTATGTCATACAGCCCAGAGTAGCCTTAAACTCCTATGTAGAAGAGGTTGGCTTGAACTTTTGGTTCTCCTGCCCCCACTCCTAAGTGCTGAGATGACAGATATGTACTACCACACCGGTGAGCTTTGGGTACTCAGTTTCGAAATTGTGTAACTGGAAAAACCAGCATAAGGTTAGGACAGAACCACTGATAAAGCAAGAAGAAAAGCCAAGAGTTTGGTGTCATTGAAGAAATACTAGAAAGGAAGTCATAGAAAATATTTCAGGGGGGATTGAGTGTTTTGCCTATGTCAAACGCTGCTGATGGGTCTGGAAATTAAGTTACACTTAGCATTTTGAAGTCTTTCATAACCTTATCTAGGGTGGTTGGAGCAGTGTCAGAGGTAAAAGTCTTTTTAGCATGATTACTCAAGACCCATAACACCAAATTCAGTGCCTTTTATACATTGGTAGCTCACTTGTTGGCTTTTGAATGAATTTTTTAAAAAATAATTCTACATTTAGTAGTCAATAATTCTATACTTAAATGACTTTAAATTATTATTTTTATTTTGCGTGTATGAGTGTATTGCTCGCATGTAGGTAGGTGCACCCATTTAGAGGTCAGAAGAAGGTGTCGATCCCCTGGAACTGGAGTTACAGATGGTTGTTGGCTGCCATGTGGGTGCTAGGAATCGAACCTGGGTCTTCTGCAAGAGCAGTCCTTGATCTTAACCTCTGAGCCATCTCTCCAGCCCAGAAATTGAGTATTGATAAGTGCTGTAACTTGTATGCGTGAACCATGAAAACATGCTAAGTGAAAGAACACAGTGATAAAACTATGATTCTATTTACTTGGCAATGAGCAACTACACAGTGACAGAAAGCAGTTTAGGGGCTCTTTAGTTCTGGGAAAACCGAGTTGGGAAGTGACAGCTGAGAGGCACAGTTTCTTTCTGAGATGATAAAAATGTCCTAGAAGGTGATGCTTGTACAACTTTGAACAACCATTAAATTACTTACTTTAGGAAGTTTATCTCTCCGAGACTCAGCCCAAATGCCGCCTTTTCTGTGATACCTTCATTATCTTGTCTAGGATGATAAGGTCTTCTGAATTCTTACATGATTTGTTTTGTATTGCTTTTCATACGTTGTTACTCATGCTGCATTCATTTAGGAATATTTGGCATCTTAGTTGGTTTTGACTGCTATAGCAGAACACCTTTAGATCGGGCAATTTACAAGTAACAGACATGTATTTCTCCCAGCACTAGAGGTGGAGAAGTTCAAGATCAAAGCACCTGGTCACCTGGTATCTAGTGAGGGTATTTTACTTCACAGGTGGCACAGTATGTCCTTATATTGTGGAAGAAGTGTGAAAAAAAAACAAAAAAAAAAACCTCTTTCAGGTCTGTTTTATAAGGGCCTGATCAGGGGAATAATGCCACACATGAGAGTAAAATTCTCCTAACTTGATCTCCTCTGTATACTATTACATTGGAGATGTGGTTTCATCATACGTATTTGTGGGAGTGGGGATGCAACATTCAGACTATGTCAGGTGTGGTGTATATTCATTTCCCTTCCGCTTAGCAGATTGTACCTTCCTGAGAGAGAAGTTGCAATTTCATTAAATCAAACATTGATTCCCTATTCTTCCCATTCACGAGAGGCACTATTCCTGGTGGAGGTTTGCAGCACTGAATGGAACAAAAAAATCTCTGCCCTTGAAGAGCATCCATTCTGGTAGGGAAGACAGAATGTGTGTGTGTGTGTGTGTGTGCGTGTGTGTGTGTGTGTGTGTGTGTGTGTGTGTGTCGGGGTGGGGGGTGGATTGAAATACAGCAGAATGTGAAAACTCAGACTTAAAGGAAATAAGGAAACAAGCTGTAAGGTCTTTTTGTATTCTTTACAGCATAATAGTCATTTGATAAATACTGATTTAATTTTACCTATAATATAAGTCTAGGGTTTAAGAATGGGGCAATTACTTTATCTTAGATACTGAATACCTTAAATTCATATCTTAGAATAAGTTTCAAGCCAGGTATGGTGGTGCATGCCTGTAATACCAGCACTTGAGAGATAGGCCAAGAGGGTCAAGAATTCAAGGTCATACTTAGCTATGTAGCAAGTTCTAGGCCAGTCTAGACCATATTAGATCCTGTCTCAAGAAAGCAAGCAAAAACATTTTTCTTCAATGAATACATTGCTTTTATCATTTAAGCTTCATATAATCGAGGCTATCACATGTAAAGCCTCTTAGTTTTTAAAGAACTAAATTCATGAATGTGCTCTCATCTTCACCTATTCTTTCTTCTACAGCATAATTTCCCTGGAAGACACATTGCTGCCTCTGTTCAAAACTACTCCTTTTGTGTATACTCCATTTCAAAGGCTAATTTTTATTTAATTTTATCTTGTACTGGGAATTGAACCAAGGGCCTTTTGCATGCCAGGCAAGCACTCTGTCACTGTGGTACATACTTGCTATCAATGACTGCTCATTTTTCTTTCTTTTCATTATTCACCTTTCTTCAGCTTTATCTACTGTTTTTTACTTATTTTTGTTTTTTGAGACAGAGTTCTTGCTATGTAGCTCAGGCTAACCTGGAACGCTCTGGGTAGCCCAAACTGGTCTTGTATTATGGTCCTTGTGGCTCTACCTCGTGTCTTAAGATTGCAGGCATGCCCCAGGAGCTTCATCCACTTACTAGGTTACTTCCAGTCAACATTTAAACATCCTTCAAATCAAGTTCTGTGAAACCAAACCAAACCAAGAAACACAGTGGAGCAAAATCTAACCTTGATTGTGTTCTTGTAATTATATATCTCAGTTCCTTTATAGCTTAACTTCTCTGTATTTTCCATTCTT